TTACCACGTAATCAAACCATTACTAGGTAAAAAATCACAGCCATGATAGTCCTCTATGTTCCCTCTGATTTCCATAACATCCTCGAGTTCATCACATACCTACAAAACCCATAAAAGATATCACAGAACAATAACAGAATGTTCAAATTCCGCTAAGTTAAAGCGGCTAACAACACTTTACACCACCAACACCAAACAATTTGAACTTAAACTCTTATACAATAATACACCTAATGCACCACTAACATCGCCAAAGAAAACGATATAAAAGAACGATTTCAACTATATAAATTGGTAGCCTACCAAGCCTTCATTAAGAATGTAAGAATCAAGCTCGTCGTCCCAACCATCATGCAAGTACTTCTCCTTGACCAGTGCTCAAACATAGTAGGCTTTAGATCAGCATGAATTCAGTGTTCAAAAAAGAATGATAAAATTGTTGATCCCTCCACTCTTTCTATTGAATACAACTATTAAAATGTACAAATTCCTACCTGTTAAATCCATTTTATAAAAATTATTGTTTCAACAATTGCTGCAATGTCAGAAATCCAAATCTAAACATTGTGCATACAAAATAATTGCGTTCGTATAATCTTATCTTCCTGAGAAACTACTAAGGAACTACTTGGTTCAGAACTGCACATTCGAATTCCAAAATTTCAATATTCCTGTTTGAGCAATGAACATATATGTAGAATAAGTTGCTTACAAAGCAAAGATGAAAACCAAAATAAGTTCTTCAATAAACACAACCTGAGAAACAATTTTATTACTTTATAAATGTTTCAACTCTAGGCAAAACCAGTGAAGACAAACCATAAAGACTTCTCATCAAGAAATGGAAAAGATGAATTTGAAATACTAATGTATTTAAGCTTTTATTTTATTCCTTGATGAAAGCCAGCAACCTACCTAAACAAAATAATTCCCAAGCTGAAATTTAGTCTTGAGTTCAACAAAGAGTAATTTCTATGAAAATGTATGCATGCCTTAAACATGTAGGAAACTTACCAATGTCTCGACCCATCAGCTTCACGACACGAATATCATTTTCAATACTCAAAATAAGGTATATTCACATACTGAAAGCATTAAATCGAAAAAGAACAAAAGAGAAATCATAAACATTCTATTACAAAGTTTACACAATAAATCCAATATCTTATGAAATATATTTGAAAAATACGCATAACCAACAGGAAGACGATTACTCACATATTTATCAAAAAATATGAGTTCCAATTGCTCGTTATTGTTGGTAAGAACGATCCATTTGTGATGAACTCTTATAGCTATTTCAACAGCTCTTTCCGGTCATTAATGTCAATGGTTTTATCAAAGGGCCTTGCCATTTGATCCTTGTAAAGAATGTGTGAAATATAGAATCTTAATAACATATTAAACCTGGTAATCTGAGACAGAACATATACAAAAAATCCAAGTTAACATCTATAGTGAATAATTTCGAAGACATAAACATCTACTAAACCACATAGAAGAACACAAGTAGAGTTAAAACACCAAAAAACAAAAGAAGATGAAAAAGACAAAAAACCAGTACTTGAAAATGAAAATGACAAATTAACCTTATGAGCCGTACCAACGCATGGAAGGTGCTGATAAACACACCTTTTTCAGTTGCAAAAAACAACATTCTCAAACCTGAAACAATTAATCATAAATTATCAGAACAAATTTAGCTTAGTAGGAGAAAACACAAGTGAACACAAGAAGATTATAACCTTAGCAAAACAAATTTTGCAGGAAAATTTGGTAAGAACAGAAGATTATAAATTATAAATTCATCAAAAGATAAAAACTTGCTACATAGTTGACATTAACAATCATCAGACAAACAAAAAAAAAAAAACATCCCACCAACCTAAATGCCTAAAAGTAAATGTTTTTTCCCAAAGTTTAAAACCTAGAACAAAAATAGATCAAATAAAAGAGAATAAAACTATTATTTATGAAAAAAACATAATTATAACTATGATTATTAACATTGTTTTCTTATACAAAAATAACTAAATCAACCTAAACTTAGGGTTTAAGAGAGGCAAAGTTAATAACAAAACCTAAACTAAAAAAGCCACACATAATCCCTTTCGAATCTTACCACCACCACACTCGCTGTCGGAAACGCGTTGTTGCCACCACATATCTACCACCGTAATACCGTCGAAAATGGCATAGCCGTCCTCTCTCCATTTTTCGTGTTTCTCATGATTTACATAGAGAAAAGAAGAAAACTGGTTGATTTTATTAAAAATAGAAAAGAGAAGACAGAAGATAGAATAGAAAGAGAAGAAAGAATAACACAGAAAGAGGATAAATAGAAGAGACTGAAGAAAGGGAAGAGAAGAAAACTGGTTGATTTTATTAAAAATAGATTATATGAAATGCTTAAATGATAATTTTTATTACCTTTTAACTCTTCATTTAATTACTGTTTAATCATTAATAAATTAACCGTTAACACAATTTTGTCTTCTTTTTTTTTTACAAGCGCAAATTTGTCTTTAAAATCAAAATATTGGTTAGAAAGAAAGCAAAAATAATTATATTAATAAAGTTTATTTTTTATTTAGTAATTTTTTAATTTGTTAATGGAAATGTGGGCATTATCGTATCGTTTCACAAACTTTAGTTAAATAACTTAGTCCAGAATTCTAAAAGAAAATGTTATTTTTTTGGTAGAATAAACATTACAAAAAGAAACACTAAGTAGTCATATGATTTTTAAGCTATAAAGTAAAAAATTATGTGATAGTACGAATTTTGCGATGTAAAAATTTACGTACACACAATAGTCATGTGATTTTCATGTCGTAAAAGTTAACAATATAATTTTTACGACACAGTATTCTATATTAATTATAAATTTAGCCAGTTATGATTCAATAAAAGCAGGTAGGACAGAGTAAGTGGCAGATTTTGCGATGTGATATTTACGCTACAAAACGAGGAGAGAGTAGTGTCATAAGAGGTTGAGAACTGGCCATAGACATAAGGTCTATCTAACTCTGGGGAAGGACACATGGCCGTCTGAGGTGTCTCACATACCACCATTCTCGGGCGCTGATGTAAGGTCTTCTTACTCTTACCCATATCCTTATCAGATTGAGGTGACATTTTATCTATTTTTAAAGAATACACATTTAAGAAATTAACACAATATATACTAATTCATAAACACAATTAATAAATCAATAAAACACATTTAAAACACAATTAATAAATCAACACAACACATCATCTGATCTGATATTTGTACCAATAATATAGATGCATTAAGTAAAATTACAAAAACAATCTATTCAAACTTTTCATCCATATCATTCTCATCATCTGATCTGATATTGTCCTCGGATCCAAACTCTTCATGATCTATATCCACATTATTTTCTACCAACAATATAGACGCATCAACTTGATGACCCTCAACCACTGTATCACACAAACTTGTAATTTGTTCACCTTCAATCACATCATTATTTTGAGAAATTTCATCAACTTGAAAAGCAACATTTTCCACTAGACTGTCTGTTTCAATATGACCCAATGATTTTGTTTTGATTACAACATACAACTCTTGTTTACGTGAGACGATTGAAGGATAAGGAACATAATAAACTTGCTCTAACAATATGTGACATTATGAAAGGGTTATACTCTTTGTACCTTCGGTCCATTCAAATCTCAACAATATTGAATGTCTTATCTATTTTTGTGCCTCTGGAAGATGGATTATGCCAACCACAATAAAATAAGACAACTTTATTTTCCGAGTTCACGTAATTTTATACCAACTCGTAGATATATGTAACAACGCCATAAAATGTGTGTCGATGTAACTCGTAGATATTGTCTTCACCATCATCTGTAACTTATTTTACAAATACACTAATGTTTATGGTTTTTCTCTTTAGTCATGTCTCTGTGAAATTTATATTCGTTCACAAATTATGTGTGTCATTCATTTTTCTATTGAATAAGGTCTTCAGAAAAGTTTCTCAAATGGAGTACTTCTTGAGTCCGTGCAATAATGCATGACAATTTCTCCTTGAACCATGCTGGAAAATAAGCATATATGTGACCGGAAGTTGCTTGTACATCGACGCTATGATAATATGAGGTGTTAAATTCCCTATAAAGAAACACACTATAAGTTTGAAGGTAGTTTTATATTCACGTTGCAAATAAAATTAAATAGTTGGGATATACTTACTCAAGATATGGTTTAACTTCAACATAGTTAATCAAGACATGAACATGCACAAAATGCATTTCTTTTTAGGTCAGTCAGTGCACATCCTTCTTTCCATAGGGACGATCTGGAAGTCTGAAGATTGATAAGGTAAATTGACTTCTTGCGTTAACATTTATTGCATTCCTTGTGATTCTTGGAGTTAACATCAAGTGATTGAAATAATGACTGCAAAAATGTGATGTTTCCCGATGCAAGTAAGTGCACATATTAATCCTTCAACTTTAACTTTATTTTTCACCGATCGTTTTGAATTACCCATGAATCTTTCAAACGGATACATCCATGTATATTGAACAAGGCTTTCAAGATAAGCTTCATATGCAAGATGCACAAGTAGATGTTTCATAGAGTCAAAAAAATCAGGCAAAAATACTTGTTCCAACTTACAGAGAATGGCTGGAATATTTTAGTCCAACTTAATGATATCCTCCACTGTTAAAGCTGACACACAAATATCTCTAAAAAATTGACTAATTTCAGTTAGTGGATTAAGCACATGATTGGGTAGTGAAACAAACATAATTGGAAGCAATTGTTCCATAAAAACATGGCAATCATGACTTTACATACCATACAACTTCCCAGTGTTGGCGTCGGCACACCTTGCTTAGTTTGAAGCATAACCATCGGGTATTCTCAATTCTTTTAACCATCGACAAACCGATTTAGCTTCTTGGGAAGTTAGACTGTAAGTAGCCTTGGGTTTTAAAAAAATTTCCATTCGGTTGAGGCTTCAACTCCAACTCTTTCGATTACATAAAATTTCCATGTCTTTTCTAGCCTTCTCATTATCTTTTGTTCTGCCTTGAGCATCAAAATTCTTTTCAATATGCAAAACATCAAAATCATGTCACAAAAAATTATCTTTACAATATCAGAGGTCCTAAAATATACTTCTTTTTGTCCAATTGTGTGTGACCTCATATCCTTGAATTTTACATGCTTTACCAGTATCTGTGAATTTTGGTAGTTCATAAACTTGGTTCCATACTTCACATTATGATAATCGAGGCGAAGGAAAATTTGTTACTCGTTCGTCTTTTTTGAAATCAATCTTGTTTTTTCTATAGGGATGATTTTTTGGTAGGAATCTGCAGTGACAGTCAAACCACAAACTTCTCTCCCCCCCTTTTCCAACGTAAATGCCTTGGTGTTTCTCATGCAATGCGGATATCCCATTTTTCCATGCATACCCCAACCAGACAACATGTCATATGCTGAAAAATCGTTAATAATCCACATCAAGGCAGCTCACAAAGTAAAGTTTTTTACAGGATATATCATAAGTCTTTTCTCCAACCCGCAATCTCTTCAAATCATCAATTAAAGGTTGTAAGAACACTTTGATTCCGGCTTTTGGACTCGATGTCCTAGAATGAGGCAAGTCAAAAACATGTATAGTTTTTTCAAGCACATCTCAAGGGGGAGGTTGTAAGGGGTTACAGTAATTGGCCAACAAGAATATATGCTTCCTGACACTTGGACATATGGAGTAAAACCATCAGAGCATAATCTAAGCTTGACATTTCTAGGTTCTGCATCAAAATCAGGATGTATCTGATCAAAGTGCTTCCATGCCTCGCCATCAGATGGATGTCGCATAATGCCTAAACTTTTTTTGATTGTATGATGCCATGTCATTTGACTTTCACTTTTCATTGAAGCAAACATTATTTTTAACCTTGGTATTATCGGAAGATAAAACATAGACTTCACTGCTACACATTTTTGCTTACGGTTAATGGCTTTACTTCGAACTTGATATCTTAGACTCTTACCCAACTTACATTCCTCCACGCTCCATTATTAATACCAAACTCATTTTCATACAACAACGTGCAACCACTAATGCAACTATCAATATTTCTTACTTCTAAACCCAACTTTGAAATCAACCTTTTTGCATCATAAAAATTTGTAGGCAAGTTGTCTTTTGTAGGAGTCGCGTCCAACATCATTTTTGCAAAGAATTTCAAACACTGATCAGTAACATTCCAATTTGATTTGGCCGCCAATAGTCTCACACACATTGATAATTTTGAGTTTGACGACCCCTCAAACAACAACATATTCATATTTTTCAACAATTGATAAAATCTTAGCAGTTCCTCATTCTGAAACTCTTCCCACTATAACGAATAACACTTTTTATGTTGAAGCTTTAATCTCCAACATGCTAAAAACCGAGAGGATATATCCTGGGAGCGTAATGTTTTATTTTTTTTAATAAGATGAACAACATGTTAGGTAGGTGTTATAAAAAACTGAGGTAAAACAGTTATAAGTTAGTGCCTTTTTATCTATAAAAGAAATAATAAACCTGTTATCTCGGTTTTCTTGAGAACCAAGGTAATATAGTTATAAGAAACCTCACTTTGAATCCTGGTTTCCGCATTTAAAATCTTTTTTAACAAATTATCACTTGGCGTCTTTTCCAGATGCCATGTTATTTTTGTTAATTAGTAATGCTCAAAAACCTTGTTATCAATAAACAAGAATAGGAAATAATAGAAAAAAGAAATATTTCATTGATAACAAAAAACAACACAACAAAGAAAACTACTCAACAAATTTAAACTTCTCAGTCCACCTAACTTTAACATTACCCCTAACTATCCCTAACTTATAGAAAAGTTCACAAATAACTCTTCCATAAGGTATGAGGGAAGTCATTTCCTCCCGAGAAGTCTTTATCATTTCCTTCAAGAAGTTTAAAATGGTCAGATGAAGATTAACTCTGATGTTGTAGGTGAGGAATAAAAGAGATACTTGTCATATCAAGTAAGTGTTTCCAGATATTTCTCTCTTGGGCAAAGATTTGCCACTAGAAGTTGAAACCATAATTTTGCAATTGGGAGTAGAGAAGCAATACCTGAGAGCTTATTTTGG